AAGCAAGTGATGAAGGGGAAGTTATATATATTGGAGGGAATGTAACAATCACCATTGTTGTAATTTTGCTTGCCAGTATTGTTAATGCAAACTTTTAACTATTATGATAACAATGCGGTAATAGAAACACATGACAATATGATAATTATGGTCTTTTTATATTGTGTAGAGCAATGTTAACATTTTTTGTTAATTAGTTTTATATTGTAACAATGTAGAGCTATTTAATGTTGTCCACTTAATTAGAAACGTGGTGGCAGAAATGCAGCGACAGAAACACAAACATTCTATCATTTGCCTTACTGAATTTGTCATCTACTAAAAAAATCTGAAAATTCTGTCATTTGAACAAAAAAAAATTAAATTCGTATGAAATGCTTATCAAAAGTTATCATTTGCCTTACTAAAATTATTATTTGCCTAACTAAACTTGTCATAAATAGCTTATCAGAACTTGTTATCTGCTAAATAAATCTAGAAATTATCACTTGAAAAGAGAAAATTAAATTCATATGAAATGCTTATAAGAGGTTGTCATTTACCTTACTAAACTTGTCATTTGCCAAGGAATTATGCAAATTGTCATTTTAACGTAGAATCTTAAATTCCTATGAGTTGTTTATCAGAAGTTGTCATACACCTTACTAAACATCCTTGGCGAATGACAAGTTGAGTAAGACGAATGACAATTTTAGTAAGGTGAATGACAACTTTTGATAAGCAATTCATAAAAATTTAATTTTCTCTTTTTAAATGACAGAATTTTCATATTTCTTTAGCAGATGACAACTTCTGATATGTAATTTATGACAAGTTGAGTAAGGCGAATAACAAGTTATGAAAATCAATTGACAAGAATGGAAAGCCAAATAACAATTGTGATAAGTGAAATTATAAGTTAGTAAGGAGGTTTGTCATGAATTTTAGAACATTAAATGGATCTACATTGATACTATTTACAACTATAAATACTAAATATTAAGAGGGAGAGAAGGACGAAGACGAAGGGAAAAAGAAGAAGGAAAGAGAAAGAGATGGGGTGATGGAAGAAAGAAAAAAAGGGCATTTCTGTCTTTTTAGCCTGATTTCATAATTACAATTTGAGACCGGGTCCTTCTTAGTAATTTGGCTTATTCAGGTGACCTCCTTATAATTTTGGTAATTTAGGGGTCTTTATTTGTCATTTTCCCATTATGTTTTACAATTATGTTGTGCGAGGAGAATAAGTGGGAAAAAAAATAATGAATGCTTCATGGAAAACAAATTGTTTTTAATAACAACCGAGGTATCCTCAATTTATTAACTCTATAGGTGTATTACATATTTTATATATTAAAGTGAGGACCCAATTAAATAGCTTATAATCTCAATTTTTGAATTATATGGGTTATTACCGAGTGGGCTTGAACAATATTTTAAGAAATATATAAAGGATATATGAAGATGCCATATTTTGTAACTTATAGTTGTGAAAATGATAATAGAAGTTTTTAGATAAATTGTTGAGAAATATTAGGGAGATTTTATTTCAGAGACAATGACAAAAAAAGAAGCTGAAATTTTGTAAATGCCAAACAAAGAATGTTAACAAAAATTTGTTTTCATTTGCAAATTCAGATTTGTCAATATCAAATAAAGTTATGTTACCAAACCTGATTTGGGATTTGCAATTTTCAGCTTTTTTTTTCCTGGTCATTCTCCCTTTATTTCAATTTCTTATAAAAATATTTTTGGTTTCAAAAAAGGCGCATCGGTAGAATCCATTTTTGCCATATCTTACTCTTTTGGTCTATTTATAAGTCACTTCCAACATATTTCACACACACCAAAGAAAACCTTAAATTTCATTAAATCTCATTTAAAATTCAATAACTTTTCAACTTTATCTCTATTTAATATATTATACCTCATATAAACAAAGTCAACATTATATAAATAGAATTAGAGGAGTACTTTACAACTACAATTAATGTGATTGGTCCACTTAATCCCCCAAATTATCCATGTAAATGTGCCACAGAATCTACCTTTTCATAATTTACTAACTTAATTGTGCTTTATTGATAGATCTTATGCATTGATATTGGTGAGAATAATTTGTTTTCACTTTTGTGTTGATCACATAGGGGTTCAGTGTGTTGTTGGTTTTCCAAGTAATCCTTTGATTTTATTTCTAAGTTTTAAATTTGGAAAGGGATACAATATTTGCTTGTTTTATAAGTTTTAGTTGAAGTTTGTCTCAACATTTAATATGCTTTATCCAGTTTTGTCTTAGTTATTTATTCTCTCTTTTATGCCACGCTCTCTCTTATTACATATCCCTGTATATTTTCTTTCATCATGTTTCTCATTTATTATAAAAAAATATTTAAAAATATATATTTCTTACATGTTTATTATTTTTAACTTATTTTAATTAATTTTTCATTATATGCAAATTAGTTATTTAGTGTTTATAATAAGAATAGGATGGAGTATGTACTCCTTAACTCTTCCCACTCTATCTTCCGACGTCATCAATAACTACGTTCCTTGCATTTATTTTACATTGAAATCCTAACCATCTCTAATTGTGCTTCTTAAAATATTGTCTTTTGAAAGCGGGTGCTTTGTGTGTTGGTTACATTTCCCAATTTAAATGTGTGCTGCCTTGCTCGGTGAGCCATAACCTTTTAAATTCTTCTATTTATTGTTTAAATTTCAGTGTGTTTGTATTCTTGTGGGGCCTATGTGGTATTTTGCTAATTAGGATATTAACTTGACTACGTGTATGGTGAAACTTAATACTTCCTGTTGTCCTAATAAAAGGGCACTGCAATTAATTCTTAAATACTAAAAAATGACAGTTATTTTATACTAAAAATTACTTTTAGAAAATGCTCTATAATAAGAAATAGAAGGAATAACTTGTGACTTAATTCATTTATTCATTAATTGATTGATTAGTATGATAAAATTAACTATTGTTGTTCCTAGCAAAAAAGAAAGAAAGAGAAATTAACTATTGGTGTTACCCTGTATTTGGTATCTAGATTATCGAAATTTAAATTTCAACGGGACAATAATTCAACATGTTTCACACAAGACAAACTTTGAATTGCATTAACTTTATTTTAAAAGACAACAAATTTTAATTTTACCCCTATTATATGTACATTTAAAAAAAAATCTACACTAAAAGAAATGCAAAACAAAATATATAGTACATTCATATTAAAAATTTAATGATATGACTTATAAATATGATAAAGAAAATCTTTTATTTTTGCCTTATAATTAGATACAAAAGAGCACCATCGAGTGATTCATTCTTCTTATGAGTATGTTTTCTCAATTTGTACTTGAATAGCCTTTTGTTGGTTGATGGTTCAAGAGTTTAATTTGTAAGTAGGTATTAATGAAACCTATTTCTTTGTCCAAGGTCATGACTCAATTATATCATTTGCTAGTCTTAGTAGAAGAGATTGATTTTTAGTGCTCAATCACACAAGCATTTAAAACTAATATCAACAAATGATTGCTCTATTTTTTGTCTTTTCTTATTTCTTTGATTACTGAATAATTTCAACAAGCACAAATTGCAATTTTTCTAGGCGTGCAATACTTGCCCATATTTTCAACTTTAGGAGATAACTAGAAACATTTTTTGGCCATTTGATTGGTAGGAATATTAGGTAAGGAAAAGATTAATCATTGAGAAATTTTTTGAGACAGATTTGTTATTAACCAATTTAATTGTGACCTGAAGAGATACGTTAATGAATTTTTTTGGGCAGAGCTTTAGGAGGCTTCAAAGGTTAAGTACAAACCAGCCTTGACGGAAAGAGGATATAGAATTTGGTTTCAATTATGGTAGGGTGTGGAATTTGATATTGTGATCGTGTTAATAATAATATATATTTTTATATTTATACGTTCTATATAATTTACTTTTACGATTATTATGTAAAAAAGCTATATCTTAAGGTTAAAATATACTAATAGGTGATACTTTAAATAAATCAACTAGTAATAAGTGATGTTTTTTAGGGGGACATTGACAAAAGTTTCTATAGAAAGGACTCTATAGTTTCTTTACTCGTAGAGAAAAAAATTTAAAATCTAGAACATAGACTATAGTATCAAGCATATACTCTCACCAATATATGGTATAAGTCATTCTTGGTATGATTCAAAATATAAATCACTTTGAAAATAATAACTACCTTTTCTTGGTTCTAATTAAAGTGACACATGTTATGAATTGAAAGAAAGATGTGTTTTTGTAATTCATGTGTTCATTAAATAATAGTGACAATATAGTTTTTTCAAGAGATAATTATCTTAGTAGTTGACGATATTATATGTCAACATCACATATGATTATTATACTCCTCCAATCCTTAATATAAGACCCAATTCTTGAATTGGTTCTAGTCCTAAATATAAGACCCATTTATCATATTTATCAATTTTCTCTAAATTACCCCTATGGATACTCTCTCAACCATAATCAAATAGAAGAAGGAGATAGGGTATTAAGAAAGATGATTATGGTATTTTAGAAAAAATACGTCACTTTTCTTATAATTAACTAACTTACCTAACTTCCTTAATCTAATCAAATTAGTTAAAAGGATCTTATATTAAAAACAGGAGGAGTATTAAATTTATTACATATGTATTATCACATCGTCATTTATATTTCAAGATCCATCAATCCTAAACCTTGAACATAGCTAGTATAGTTTTTTATACTATTCGTAATGAAGACAATACATATCAATATACCAATTTTGAATTGACGCAGAGATTTATAATTATAATTTCTGATAAGTATTTTAACAATTTTGCATGTTTGGCATATTTAAAAAAAATATGGTTAATGTGTGTTTTTAAATTCAAATTTTAACGATTGAACTACTATTAGTTCACCTGTGCCTCGTGGGGTAAGGCGTCTAGTTTAAAAATAAAAGAGCGTAGTCTTCCGCTTTCCAACGAGATAAAGGCGCGAAATGGGAATGAAGTGACAATAGACTTCTGGTCTGCTTTTTGGGGTTTATGAGGTTTTAGGGTTCAGCTTTTCCCGGAAGCAGCTGTTTAGGGTTTATGAGATTTTAAGATATTCGCTTTCGATTCGAAAACCATGGCTTTCTGGGGTAAGCTTCGATTTTATGTTGCTCGACAAATGATTAGAGACATAAACTCTCCTTGACTCGTATGTCTGTTTATGCCTTAGGAGTGGAAGTCAGACCCGGAAAATCTTTCACTCATAAATTTGATGACTTGAAAGGACGACTCCATATTTCAATGGTAATTTTCTTCAGCCGAACTCGTGATTATCTATATATAAATCTTGGAGAGTTTGTTGGTAAACTGTAGCTTGAGATTTTGACTTTTGCATGCATGTGCTGCTGCTTCTTCTTCTTCTCCTGCTCCTCATTATTGATATGCTACTTGAAGACATTTTTTGGTATAGGTTCTCCTTTTGTGGATTGTTAATCAGCTTTCAATTTTTTTTAGGCCACTTTGGGGGTTGGCTCTGTTCCAGCCAAAAGCAGACTTCAGTGTAATGTGGGCAACAATAGCCCTGTTTATCTATGTTCTCTGTCTTCTGGAACGAATGAGTCATTGCAACTTAATTTGGAATTTGAGGAGGTTGATGATGTCATCTTTTCAGTGATTGGTCCTCGGAGTATTCACTTGTGTGGTTACTATCTTGGTAGTGGCCGAAGAACCAATACGATTGAGGAGTCGTATCCTTGCCTTAATTTTGTTGCTAAGAGTTTTTTTGAACAAAACTAAATAAGAAACTAGAGTAGAATATTTGATAATGAGGCGCTTAAGTTTTCTGAGATCAACTGATTTTCCTCTGTTATTTTCTTCATGATTTCATATATACTTGATGGCATGCAAGTAGATAGAGCAGTAATGTCATTTCTTTTCATTTTTCTGATACCACCGACCTTTTGGTTGTGATTTCTTTCATTTCTTAACTTCTGCATCTGCATTGAAAAGAGAATCCTATGGAGAAGATATTGCAAACACCGAGACAGATAGATCTGATTGCAGCGGAGAAGATGAGTATGAGGATAGTTTTATTGATGATGATGCGAATCCAGAGGTCTACCCAGAATCACGTATTTCAAGTGAAGGCATGTTTTATTATTGAAAGTTAAATCCCTTGATGAATTGTCATAACTATGGAGCTTGTGCCTATCAATATATCAAAATATTATATTCAAACAAACCCAAGAGTCACCATTCCTTAAGGGTTTATTTGTTATCTAGGATGAAATGGAATGGTAATGTGATTTTATATATGAGAAATGACTTTCATGTTCTTACTTTTAAAGAGAGTTCACAAAAGATAAAATTTATTATGTAATAATTGCAAGAGTGTAATAGACATTACACAAACTTTTCTTTTCTTTTTAGGGCCAAATTACAATTTTTTCACTCTTTCTCTTTTCCATCATGGTACCAAATTTGACCTTGTTATCCTTTTAGCCTTTATTAATTCAAATGGAATCTGTGTGTTTTCTTAGAGTGTGTGCTTCTTAAAATAATATAGATATATTCATGCATTGCCAGGTGACTCTTCTAGTTTTATCTTAGTTTCTACTTATTTCCATTGACGTTCAAAACTTTTGTTGGGTTTTACTTGTAATGTGCAGGTATTTATGAATGATTTTCTCCGAAATGATAACCATGGAGTATCTGTCTATATAATCTTGTCTTTTGTTGGTAAATAGGAAACATTAATTATAGCATCTAAAACAGTTTTGTAAGCATCTAGCTTATTGCAATGTCTTTTTTAAACCCCAAGCATCAGACCATTTTGTTTTAATTTTTCTTCTCCCCCCCCCCCCAACATTTTCTGATATTTATGAATGATATCCCTTTAATCTCTTTATTTTCCCTTGTATTCTCTCGATTGATGATTGTGAAATTCTCTGGATCTTTTGGTTATCATTTTTTTGTGTGATGGTTATAGAGGAAGTTTCACATGTTAACAAACGTAAAGGTAGTCGCCGCCGACTACAGAAGAAGCACCAAAGAGTAGATTCAGATGATGACAGTTTGCCAATTTCATCTATTTACAAGAGTAAAGCTTCTGCAAAGGTTTTGTCTGAGGAAATGGATGTTAGTGATGACGGGAGACAAAGTGATGCCAGCCACAAGAATGGTGAAGATGATGGCAACAACGCTATTAAATCAAATTCAAAATCAAAAGCTGGCAATGGTCCTCTAGATGCTAAGACACATAGGTTACATTCTAAAATCTCTATCACTGTTCAAATGCATATAAATTTCTTCTCAGCTTTGAGGTCTAAGGATACATCTTTACGTTTTCTTCTCTTTGTTTATAAATTGTTTTAACTGAAGCAGTGGAGCTAAGTCTTTGGGCAGCTTAGGAGAATATCACACTGATATCAATGTGAGGAGTGTTCGGAAATTGGAAAAATATTAGAAAGAAATGGAAGAGGGTGAATATGTTGAAGCAAAGGATGCGTGCAATGACCAATTTATGAAACTTAATAATGTGTTGGAAGGAGAGCCAAAAGTGGAAAATATGGTCAAGGACCTTCTAATAATAAATAGACATAGCAAGGGCCAAGCCTGTGATAATATTTGGGCCATAGTATTTCAAATTTTTGGTTTAAGGTTCTTGATTGTAGCAGCATTGGGCTGAACAAGGCTAGACTAATTTGGATATTTACTCTTAATTAAGCATGGACAACTGGCTTATTACTGGAACCTAGTCAATAAAATATGCAATTTTAGAAGTTTTTCATTGGCCATTGAAGTTTAGAATTTGGAATCAAAACATTTTAAGGCTAATTGGTTTGTGGGGCTATGGTGAAATAGGAAGAGTTCCTGAAGCTGTTATGTAAGAACAGTAAACCATGATAATTGATAATAGCATCGTACAGTGAGGATCAGCATGTGAGAAAGTCGTAGAAGTTACAGGAATCTTATCTAGTGCGTGTTTGGTAAGATATCTGGACTCCTGAGCCTCCAACAGGGATTTGAAAAGTGTCTAGATCCTATTGGTATCCATTGATTTTACCTCTTTAGTTATATTATTTAAATGTATATAAAATCTATCCATATAAAATATTAATCTGTTTAAAATAAATTTTGGAATTTTGGAAGGCAATTGTCAAACAGTTCATTCCATATGGCTAATATGCTCCAGCTTGGGGGGCGTGTTAGAATATTATTAGCATATGTTTCTTCTTATCAAAGTTTCATGTTCACTGTATCTCGGTCTAAAACTATACATTACAACCTTCAGTCTTGTAAATATCTGTGTGTAACTCATGCCTCTAATGGAAACATTCATCTCAGTTTCATTCATGGAGTAATATTGCACTTCTTTGTGGTAAGGGAAGAAGAAAACTATCAACCATTAAGCTAAGCTCACAGTAAACAAAATGCATGAAAAATGACACCCTTCCTCCTGCCTTTTCAGGTTGGGCACTTTTTTAGATCACTACTGTATTATTACCATCCTACTTCTTTGTCAGGAACCCGCCACAATGACACCCTTATGACTCTCCAATGATACAAAATTGGCTACTGCCTCATAAATTCCTACTCTGCCCTTCTCTTGTCTCCGCTCAGCTAATAATACCTTAGACCTTAGATATCTTCTTATTATCTTCTTACACTAAGCCCATCATTTACCCTCAGCATTAGCCCTTTTCTTAGTCTCATACACGTGGAGCCAATTGAATGCTGGATCCATCATTTGCCTTCCTAGTAAAGCTAACCTTGTTTTCACGGTGGAAGCTGCAAAATTTTTGTTTTTGCTTGAGCATTTCCCCATATATTTGTCACTTTGGGCAGACCCTAAGGGAGGACCTGCTGCTGCCCATCAGTCATGGTTCTTGCTTTTTTAATATATTCAGGTGCCACCTGCAGCTCCACCACCTCTTGGTAATTTACCTGTGAAAGTGTGCCTTAATGCACTTTTTACCATCTTTTTGCTAGTTGCAAGCAACTCAATGTTCTCACACAGTTCAATAGAAAAGGAAATCAAACTTTGCGACTTTCATAAAATGCTTGTCATTTGACGAATTTGTCATTATATAAAATCAACTTCAATGCTAAAGGCAACATTCTAGATAAGAAATCCCACCCTTTCACAAATGTATTTGCTTGGTGCCTCTAAGATTTTTATTTTGCCAAGTCATCAAACCTCCTAAACTTTACCCTATGTTTCTCCACTAAGATTTTCTCAGAATGCAGCGTTTATCTTAAGTGAAATGCAGGTAAAAAAGAAAAAAGAAATTAAAGAAGTGGAAAAAAATCAAACCTTGTGATATTTTTACAATTTTTAGGAGAGTTTGAGGGATTTCCTAGACGGATCTATAAAAGAAATGAGGCAAATTGTTACATGATTTGTAGATTCTGTCCAGAAAGAAATTTGTAGAGTTCTATGTGAAGAAATGGGAATTAGAATGCACAGGGGTTTCAATTAGTAGCTTACTGAATTACTCTTTTGTTTGTTTGTGTTTTTGGGTTCCTCATTCTTTTAAAGTTAACTGATGCTCTCTGGCAGGGATGTTGCATTGCCTGCCACTGTAGTAGGTCCTGTAAAAAGTGGAGGAACAAAGAGGAAAAAGAAAGAACAGGCTTCCAAAGATTCACATTTTGAAGATGACAATGCTTACTGTAGGGAGCCCAAAGCCCAGAGAGAGGCAGAGACTGATATTGCTATCCCCAAAGTTTCTGAAGGAGAGAATCAAGATTTGCTGCCAAACAACAAAGAGTGAGTACAAGTAAAACAATACATAAAAATGGAAACTAAGATGTAGACATAGTTTTAATGTTTATAATATGTGCCTAAAGCTTTCTAAACTCATAATTTCAACTTGGAACATATTGTATAACTTGTTCTTTCTATAGTCCCTTGAGGATTTTCAGAAGTGTTTCCGAAAAATATGTTTATTTATTAAAGGGTAAAGGAACATTGACGATTTTGTATGTGTAGTTGCTTATGTTCTAGATGCAGAGTTCCTAACAAAAAGAAGGGTTATTGTGTTTTTGCTAGAAGTAATTGTAAGGAGGTTAAATGTCGAAGTTTCCTGGTATGGCATCGGTCAAATTACCAGAATGAGTCTAAAGCTGCCGGAAATCATATCTCTCCACCTTGACATTCAAGTTGTGAGAGAAGTTCTGATTTGTTGCTTAGTTTCTCTTCTGAGAACCTTCTTGTTTTCTCTTTGAACTTGATGAACTGTCTTTTCTTGTGTGTGTTTAATGCAATCTGGATGGTCCTTAGATATACAATCTTGTCAATTTCATATGTTTAACTTAGTTAAAATGTTTTGCACAGGAGTGGGGACAATGGCACTCATGACTTTCCTGATGGAAATCAATCTGGTGATGGAAAAATGAAAAAGAGGAGGAAAAAAGACAAAAGTCAGGGGGATGTAGAAGTTAATACTTCTGACATGCCTCAATCAACTGTTAATGAAGATATTAAGGCCGTGAAAAAGGATGAATACATTATGGCTGATGCGAAGCCTTCTGAAGTTAAAACATTGCCAAACGGTTTAGTTATTCAGGAGCTAGAAAAGGGGCTAGAAGATGGAAAAGTTGCTGCATTAGGGAGAAAGGTAGTTGTCTTGAATCATTAAAATTATTCAGAGCCCGCCCTTATGAAATTAACCAAAAGAATAGCAGATTTGGGTTGACAAGTATTCCGTGGTTTCAGATTAGCGTCCTTTTCACTGGCAAGCTCAAGGATAATGATGAAGTCTTTGAGACAAATGTTGGTCATGCACCTTACAAGTTTCGCCTTGGTACTGCCGGCCTACATAGCCTTGTGTTACCTGAGTATGACTGACTTTATACATGACTGACTTTACATGTTTCTTGTTCTATCATTTTCAGGCAAAGGACAAGTTATAGAGGGTTGGGATGTTGGCCTTGAAGGTAAGTTATTCCGACATCTTTGTGAAGCGCTCTACCATGGTTTGCTTGCTGTATAATGCTAATAGAGATGCATACATATGGTTCTTAGGCATGCGAATGGGAGGAAAGAGAAGACTCATAATCCCACCGTCCATGGGGTATGTTGTTAAATTAGCATCCTTTCGCATGTTATCTTATATTTCTTTTGGATTCCTTGTACGTATCATGTATGCTTTGTGCATGTCAGGTTTGGTAGTGAAGGACACGACACAAAAGTACCACCAAACTCGTGGCTAGTTTACGACTTTGAATTGGTTAAAGTCCGTTGACTGAAGCAACTGGTCATGGCTGATATCATTTTTTGGCTGAACTTGGAAAATTTTGGGGGAGAAAATCCTGGAGATTCCAAGCTACACTCGTTATTCTCTTTGTTGGGATTGAATCTGGTGCAATATAGCAGTAGGTAGTTTGAGTTTTTGTTGTAGAAAGATGGCAGAGGTATATCACTGATCGAAATATCAGGTTTTTAGTTCTTTTTCCCACTTGAATGCCTATGAGAACAGATGATTCGGGGGGGGGGGGGGGGACAAGAAGAAAACAGAAATCTACTGGATCCTGCACCATCGAGCACAATCATTTATGTTTGACCATCGGTTATCATCAAGCCATTGTAGAACCCGGAATTTGCAACATCTTGTATGCCTAAATTAAGGTTTTTGCCTTTTAAAATTGAGTACTTGAAAATATCTTGCACTTATTATTAACCAACTGGAGCTGAAATAGGAAAGTAAATCTAGCACATCACAGTCACTGTGATGCATGGAAGCACAAGAAGGAAGAAATAAGTCAATAACATAAAAAGAGAAACAGGGTAAGAGAAAGGGAAAGAGTAGAGCCAGAGTGAAGAAGAGAATATCCCAAGAATGCTACGAAAAGGGAAGATCAATGAAATCAGAGCGCGGGTTTGGAGCAGATTGTCCACGTGGAATAATGTGGTACATTGATGAGATCCATCGGCTCCAAGAGATGCACTTTAAGGAAACTCGAAAAAAGATTAAGTTAAACTTCAACCGATTGGATCTGTTTCCTTGCACCACATTGCCTGATTAAAGGGGGAAAGAGCAAGAATCACTATAGGGTCCCAATGACTTAATGAAATTATTAGAAATGTCTATAAGAATTGAGCATAGAAAATGGCAGCAGATTCACGCTGCACGCTTGTTATTGAAATTTTTTTGGTTATTACATTCTATTTGCAACATCAAGATAATTCTCTCAAAACAAAAAATAAAAAATAAAAATAAAACATTCAAGTGATTCATGGGCTATGGCTGGTCAGGACTGAGGAGCCATGTTTTACTCGTGAGCTTCATCAGCTGCTGCAGAGTGGGTTCAGATAGCATTCTTTTGGAAGGTTGCGGGCTTGCTTTCTGAAACTTGTCAAGCCTAGAGTTGAACAATCATTAATTGCTAATTTGAAACTAATTCAAGAAAGTATGCTGCTGACTGCTTTGGCTGCGGATGATAGCTGTTGAGTATGTCTGTAAGTAGCAGCAACATGTCAGCATAAACTTACAATTATTAGTTCCCAATCCCATTATCTCAATCTGATGGTATAGGTAATATGTTTTACCTTTGATTTTTGATACTTTGTTGACGTATATCATGGAATCTGAATAGGAAAAAGAGACGCAGCATTTGATTGTGATAGTGATATAAACAAAAAGATGCTGTTCACATTAATCAAGTACGCAAATAAACTATTTTTTTCGCCAGGAGCAAATAAACTATATGATATCTTTGTGCCAAGACAAAGAAATCAGAAGTTTATTTTCAAATCAGAAAGGAAGAGAGAACTCGATCTAGGATCAATTTTTGTGACATATAAAAGTTAAAATTGAGAGGACCTGCCTTCTATTCTAACATGTGTTTTGAGTAGTAAATCCCTTTTTAAACAACTGAAATCTGAACTGAAATTATTGATGGCAAGCATGTCTAGTTACCGACCATTTGAGCTCTGAACCAACCGTACTTCAAGGCATAAAAAAATGAACGACAATAGCGTAAGTTTGTACCCGGTAACTTTATGTACCGCACCACTGCTGACACATCAAGGCCTTTCTAATGATTTGTGCAAGAATCAAACATTAGCAGGTAAGAGAAGTAACTTCTTGGTTAATATGCCTTTTAGCTTCCAGTGCTTTGACTTCATGTCACATCATATTTACAATTATTGTATTCGGCCCTGTTACGACCAAATCTTGGTCATCTTCTAAAAAAGAAAGAAAGAGGAGTTGTCATTAAAATTTTAAAAGGTTAATTTTGAAAACCTAAAAAATATGGTCTACAAAAACAGGATAAGATTTAGGGTCAATGGTGTATGAGAAAGGTGTTAGGCACTCCACAACACCCATTCAAAAAAATGATTACCCTAAGTCAACTATTCAAAATTAATATGGTCTTTTTATCATGTTTTAAGCACTTAAGAAAAATAAAGCTAGAACCAAAGAAAACTTTTTATTTGCAAAAAAAAAAAATTATTTACAAATCTGAGCTTGGCCTAGGATAAAAATCTAGGACCTATGTACCTTTTAGAGGGATCAAAACCCACTTAGTTTGGGAGTAAATTCCTGCTGGAAGAGGTGCCCACATTTCGTACCCAACAGTTCCTTGAATAGGATTGTCTCCAATAAGGGGATATCTATGCTTTAGCAAAAAAAAATATGTGTCACTTAGTTGACATTTTTTAGAAAATATTTATTCAATTGAAAAATATTTTTTGGGGGTTGATTTTTTTTAATATATGAAAACAAATTTTGCATTTTTATTTAAAAAAATATTTTTGAAAGAACTTTTGGATTATCCTCTTAGGAAAGCTTCCATAACCTCACACAGAAGAATAATCATTCGAGCCTGCAGCGGCTTTAAAAACCTCACACGGCTCTGAAAAACATTTTGAAATTATATATATACGTATTTGAAAAAAAGACTTTTTATTTTATTATTTATTTATAAACATGAGGCCAAAATTATTTTCTTTGTTTTTTATTTCAAAAAGAAAATTTCCATAGCCACATTGGTACTCTTGTGGAGACTCCTATAGTCTCAAACGGTTTACCAATGAATCTAGATCCTTACAGAGGTTCTGAAAACCTTACACGATATAGATCTTAAAAAAGGAAGCGCTTTCACAAAAAAAAAAAAGAACACCCAAAAATAGTTCATCATGAAACTCAAGTTAAATATAATAAATAGGAATGAAAATTCAAGCCTGATGCTTCACTTATCAATTGGTAAAAAAAACAAAATACATGATATAATAAGCCAATAATAATTAAAAAAAAAACTATATACACATATTAGCAAAATGACATGAACAAAAATAAAATTAAAAAAAAAGGAAGAAAGTAGATATCAAAGTGAGTACATACGGAGGATAATAGATAAGGGCATATTTTGAACAAAATCAAAGAGAAGGGGAGTAGTGGGAACTAACTCAAATTATACTTGATTCAACCTTCTAGCCATCACTGTTCAAGCTCACAAATATGATAATAATAATAAGAGTATAGGTTTTCCTTAGGTAGAAGAAAGAAGAAGGCTTTCTTTGGGTAGAAGAAAGAAGAAGATGAATAATGGACTTACCTCTAGTTAGGCATCTCTCTCTCTTCCTAACCCAACTCTTCTCATCAAATAAAGTGACAGAAAAGCTCTCTACCTTGCCTTTTTTTTCACTGTAAAATTCTGAGCGTCTTTCTTCAACCCTCACTCTCTTATTGATAGGTTCTACCTAGGATTTTTTAATTTTTCTTTTATTTTTTTTATAATTTTTCTCAATTATGACTCATAATATAACTTTCTATTTACGCACCAAATTGTCATCAAATTGTGATTTTTTATGTTAATTTTTTTTAATTTTTACAATTATGACCCCAAAAGGTATTTCTAAATTGAGGAGTCAATCATCTTAAATGAGAAATTTTGATTTTGATTTTTGAATTTTCTTATTTTCTCTTTTTAAAGACTCCACTCTGTATTTCCTAATTTGGAGTTTATCTTTTATTTTATTGCTATTTATTGTAAGAGGGATATTCTTATTTAATTGTTCTTTTTTTATTTGCCATATACTAGATTTCTCAAACTTAGCTTCTAAGAAAGAATCAAAGAGGATATTAATATTTTATTATTCATTTATTTATTTTTATTTGTTTATATTTCTATTTAATATTTATTGTGGAATTCGGACAAAATCGGGTGTTCAGTGTTCACAGCCCCTATTATAAGTTCCCTCTAACTATTTCACCAGAACTAAGAAGAGGTGATTGACTTGAGTCATTGACTGTCTAGAAATGAAAATTTTTCAAGCCTTACCCATATTTAAGAGCACAAGAAAAACATTATATTAGGCTTCAAGTCTGTAAATTGTAATAGGGGTAGCATTTGGAAAAAAGTTAATTAATGACCCACAAAGCGACTTATATCTTGGACCATCAATTCCTTTTAGAAGGTGCCTTGTATAAGGGATTGGAGGAGTACATAGAACTGTAATGCTTTTCTGCATTTTAATAGGAAATTTTCTGTCCTTTATACTTGTTAGATCATTTAAAATGGCCTTGTGTGATATGAATTTGCATTGTTGATTTCAGTGTTGTCATATGGATATGTTAAGGACTGATGGACAAGGCAGATTAAAAAAAAAAAAAAATACAGCCGAACATGGAAAAAAGTTTCTGACCTGCGAAGTCCATCACAGACTTCTGATTTTCTTTATCCATGCATTTTTCAGTTTTATTTGGATATGAAGTTTGTCATATCTTTTGCTCTCCAAGGTCAGTACTTTTCACAGAATTTGTAAGGAGTTGTTACTGAAATAATACTGAAGGCATGGGCAGGATTTTCTGCAACAGGGATGGACCCATATAGCAGGGTATTGTCGCTAGATGCCTTAGCATGAGCTCTGATATTTCACCTTTTAGAAGTGATTACACTATTCCTTGATGTTTATATGGTGGTCAACGCACGTCTAGATTCGCAAGACGTGTGAGCTTTAGCTTTTGCTTCTCCGTCTCTGAAAAAATATTACAGTTCATGCTAGATAGGTCCTTAGGGAAAGATTTGTTAATAGCAGATAAAATAATGTCGTGATTACTTTGGATCTACAATCCCAAGTCATAACTAACTTTAAATGCAGAGTATCGGACAGCGTTTAATATTCTGTGTTAAAAACATCTTTTCCCACATGGTAGCTAACATCTCAGTTTGTGCCCGTTACCATATTTTTTTTTTCATGTTATCTGTTGTGCTTGGTTTTATGGCATTATAGACAATTGCTAATGCACCATTTTTTCATCTGCAAACTGCATGAAGATGAATGATTTAACCACATCTCTCATGATGCATTGGAAAGATTGAGTGGAAAACCAAAAGAAATAAAGACTTGTCAATCAAACCAATAATGGCCAAAATGGTAGGGTTGTATAATTGGATTCGGGGAGTTCTTCACGCATAAGAACAGGAGATCAGAGCATGGGAGGTTTCAAAGAACAATAGTTCATTTATCTACAACCCGCGGAACCTATCCCTCAGTCAATTACCTGAGAGTACAGCATCTCAAAGATTTGTCAATCAAACCAATAATAAGCATATGGTGCTCAACTGCT